GCACAATATTATACTAGTTTGTTCAAAAATCACTAAAACAAATGCCATAGAATGGGTAGTTTAAAGAACAGTTATTTTGTTGACTGGGGACTGAAGTTCAAGGCTAACATACTGGAAAGGAGTGATTCCTCTGAGGCCTTGCTCCTCAGCTTGCCATTCACTGTAATTTCCCTGCATCTCCATTTATATGTTCTTTACATGTTGTATGTGTGTTCACATGTCTGTCCTCTTCTTAAAAAGCATATCCATCATGTTGTATTAGGGCCTTCTCAGAGCACCCATCTTAACTTTTCCATTTTAAATCCCATGTCTAAGTATGATCCCATTCTGAGACACTGGGGGTTACAGTTTAGTATACGAACTTGGGAATTTGTGTGACTGGAATCCATGGTGCCGTTCCCCTCCAGACACCGTGGCAGTGCTGTGGGCTGGCCTGAGAGCTGAGATCCGGCTACCCCCTGAGCATACCCCTCTGTATGTCAGGGGGTCACACCACATGTCCCATTGGCTTCCCTTTGGCTTTCTCTTTGGGCAGAAACACTTCATTCCTTATCAGAGGGCAGGATGCATTGTGAGCTCAGTTGTCAAGATTGTGCCGATTCTGCTGTAGCCAGGTTTGAGGCACTGTAACTTTTTACGAGGCCTTTAAAGTACAAACTCCGCTGCCAGAAAAGTAGGAAGGCCACTGAAGACCAGGAGATTGAAGAGATTTTTGAGGACCTTCAGATATAAGAGATATACTTTCCTTTCAAGTACATTTGCCAGTAGGCAGACAGCTGCTGGCAGGCACTAGGCATGCACTAACACACGCTGGCAGCACCCAGACATAGGTACACATACAGGAAAGCACACAGGCTGGATGGAGATGGACACACCTGCCTACAGACACACATAGGCAGGCTAACAAAAGCAAAGACCCTTGCCTCTGGCCTCAAGGCCCAAATGTGATCTGATTTTATGCTGATTTAGAACCTCTTAAAGTACAGCATTAGCCATCTTGGCTCATGTCAGATACCCATAACAGCACCATGTTGTCAAAACATAGATTGGCTCTTATGGCCATCTGGTTCCATAGAGGAGGAGGCTGGAGTATGTGGTGGTTGGCATGTTCCCAAAGGCAGGGCACTGTAGCAGTTTGGCCATAGATTGAGGAACTACCAGTGTGGGAGTTCAGTGCAATGATAGTGGGGCCTCAGAGGTGAAGAAATACAGAGACTCTAGCTTTTGTAGTAGGACACTCTCGCAAGCGATCTAAAATTGGAGTACAGTTGGTCTCATGAGACACGGATGCGCTACCTACTACACTAACAAGGTACCTAGGAAATTGTTCTTGACTTGAAGACTTGTTATGGTTTGGAGCTTAACTGTCCCATAAAGAGCATGTGGTAAAAGACTTAGTTATCTGTCTCTGGCTTGGTTGGAAGATGGAGCCTTTAGAAAATGGCGCCTAAAGGAAGATAAATGTCATTGAGGGCTTTCCCTGAAGGGCATGTTGAGATCTCCAGCCCTTCCCCTTCCTCTCCCTTTGCTTCCAGCTGCAAGGAGGTGATGCGCTCTCCTCCACATGCTCCCCACCATGTTGCTCTGCTTTGCCCTGAGCCAAGAAATAATGGAAGCAAACAAGTTCTGGATAAGTCACCTGAAGCAATGAGGCAAAGCAAAGCATTGCTCACTGTTTTTTGTTGCCGATATTTTGATACATAAACAGAAAAATAACAGAGAAAATTGCTGTGAAGAGTGTGTTCTTGCCAAGACTAAACATGACAGGTGGTTCGGAGCATTTGCAGTTCATTTAAGAGCATCATGTGGAAAGATCTGGGAAAGCAGACTACAGAAAGCCTAGAAGTAGTAGAGGTGAGGGACCAGTTCTAGTGAGGGCTCCGAAGACCAGAATGCTGGCTGGAAGGCAGACAGCAAAAACAATGATGACGTGTCAGGCAGAAATGAAGGTTCTGCTAGAACCAGACCTAGAGCTCATGCATATTTCATTTTGGCAAAGACCTTGTCTACATTGTGTCCATTCTCTGAAACTTTGTGGGAGGCTGGATTTAACAGCAAAAAAAAAAGAGAAGGAGAAAAGAAAGAAGGAGGAGGAGAAGGAAGGGGGATGAGGAAGAGGAGGAGGAGGAGGAAGAGAAGGAGGAGGAGGAAGAGAAGGAGGAGAAGGAAGAAGAGGAGGAGGAAGAGGAGGAGGAGGAAGAGGAGGAGGAGAAAACCAAAAATTAGATTAATATTTTATACAATTAATATTCCTCTTCATTCAGATGTCTGTTTGAATTGGGCACTGTGCAGAAAAAGATAATGAATAAAACATATAAAACAATCCTCTTCCATGGGATTTATATATATTCACAGAAAGACTCCAAAAGGGTTCCTAAACTGCTAGATAACAGCAAAGAAAATAGATAAGCCAGGCCACTGGACACGTGGGAAACAAGGTCATGAGTTTTTAATGAAAGAAACAACAATTAACAAAGATTCACTCTTTGCTTTTGTTTGCCAAATAAATTCAAGCACTTGGGTGGGTCAGATATTGTAACATGAGGGCCAGCTTGTTGGGGTTTCTGTCCCGCCCAGTACCCCAACAAGCCAGCAAGTCCCAAGGAAAATCACACGGAGTCTACATCAGGTTATAAACTGATTGGCCCATTAGGTCAGGCTTCTTGTTAACTCTTATAACATATATTACCCCATTATCCTTATCTATGTTAGCCACATGGGCTCAGTACCTTTCTCAGTGTGACAGCTTACATGTTGCCTCTTCGATGGTCTGTGCAGGAGTCATGAGAGAGTTTCTACTTCCAGAATACTCCCAGTCTCTTTGCTCCACCCCTACTTCCTATCTGGCTTTCCCGCCTATACTGCCTGCCTGGCCAATCAGCATTTTATTAAAATATGATTGACAGAATACAGACAACTCTCCCACACCATTTCCCTCTTTTTTTTTTTTTAAACAAAGGAAAATACCCATAGTCCATTTGTTGGGAATGTGGGTGTAGTATTTCAGGCTACTTCCTGCTGGTTGGGGGCGCTGATAATCTTATGGGAACCTAAAGAAAATTTAGAGTTATAATCAAGTTCTGACTGGAGTATCCTGTTGAGTCTCATTCATCTCAGGCAGCAGTATTGAACCTGTTCTGGATGAAGAACTCAGACATCTGGGCCATCTGTTCCTGTCAGAGATTTCTCAGGTGGCCTTCCTTGATCATACTGGATTTTTCTTAACTCAGAATGAATCCATAGCCTCTCATTTTCTGTGGAAACAAAAACAGAATCTCTTCTCCAAAGTAACATACCTTTTGACTTCAGTTTTGAAGCCAAGGTATTTTCAAAATATCTATATTGGATTAATTCAGCAGCATTTATAAACAAAAGTCTTTTAGCAGTTGTTGCTCCTTCCTCAGCATTCAAACAATTCAAAGAGAGCATAATAACATATGGTATCAAGATTCTTTGTGTATTTTCCATCTTTATTTTAACTTCTATTTCTTTTATTTTTACTTTTACTTTTTGAGACTGGTTCTCTGTATATCTTTGTCCTGGAATAACTCTGTAGACCAGGCTGTCCTTGAACTCACAGAGATCCCACTGTCTCAGCCTCCCCAGCACTGAGAGTTAAAGGTGTATGCTACCACACCTTGAACTCACAGAGATCTGTCTCTGTCTCCCAGGCATTGGGATTAAAGGCATGTACTACCACACTTTGAGGTCACAGAGGTCAATCCACCTCTGCCCCTTGAAGTCACAGAGGTCAATATGCCTCTGCCTCCCAGGCATTGGGATTAAAGGTGTGTACCACCACACCCTATTTCTCCCTTTCTTTCTTTTTTATTTTTAATGACTTTAACCTTTAGCCTGCATATATTTTTAACACACTGTAAACCAGTTAGAGGTTTTCTTCATCTTTGAATCTCTCTTTACTGTTTATCTCTCTTTTTCTGACCACATGAGCCTTTAATTTACTAAGCAATATGGAGAGCTGTGGCTTTGACGGCTAGATCCAGCTCATTTTTTAACTTTTCAGCCTCATGGCTGAGATACCAGCCAGAGCTGTGTTCACTGCCACAGCTCTATGGCGTTTCAAGGTCCTTGCTAGCAAGCAAGCTGCAGCATTCTGCTCACAGACCACACTCAGTCGGACTGCCTGCCTGAAAGAGTCAGAGTTTGCCCTGGCAGGACAGTCCAGAAAGCTGGCATTTTAAAACAGCGCAGCTTTTTTCCTGCTACGGCTGAAAACCGAAAAGCATGCATTCAACCCTTCATCAACACCGTTTAAGTGCTTCACGGCAGGACCTCCCAAAAGAGCTGCAAGGTTTTGCAGCTAAAGCTGAGTCAGGAAGCCTCTCTTAGATGAGAGCGCTTGCTTGCCTCTAGCAAGCAGAGCAAACCCGAGAAATTACTGCTACCAAGAAACCATGATTTACTCTATTCTTTCCCAAGCTTTCTGTGGATTCAGTTATCCATGTCTGGGCGCCATATGTAACATGAGGGCCAGCTTGTTGGGGTTTCTGTCCCGCCCAGTACCCCAACAAGCCAGCAAGTCCCAAGGAAAATCACACGGAGTCTACATCAGGTTATAAACTGATTGGCCCATTAGGTCAGGCTTCTTGTTAACTCTTATAACATATATTACCCCATTATCCTTATCTATGTTAGCCACATGGGCTCAGTACCTTTCTCAGTGTGACAGCTTACATGTTGCCTCTTCGATGGTCTGTGCAGGAGTCATGAGAGAGTTTCTACTTCCAGAATACTCCCAGTCTCTTTGCTCCACCCCTACTTCCTATCTGGCTTTCCCGCCTATACTGCCTGCCTGGCCAATCAGCATTTTATTAAAATATGATTGACAGAATACAGACAACTCTCCCACACCAAGATATTATCATTTCTCAATAAGTTTTATTTGCTGTTTAATATAATAAACAACAGCCAAGAACGCATTAAGAATTACCTGTATCTGTTGACAATATTTCTGATACTGATGAAGGGGAAGGTATAAACTCTCAAATATGCTTAGATTCACATATATAATAATGTTTTTGTTGCCAAACTCAATATATAAGATGTTAAGTTAGATAATCTCTTAACCAGGTGAACAAGCCTTAGTCTCTTTGGGACCAGAAGGTATTCAATGATATAGAATATAAAGTTCAGCTATTAACAGACAAGTTGTAATAAACAAAACAGTCAAAATTATTGACAATTCCATAATATTGACTCTTCTTTTTGGAGATGCTGGACCACTGTCAATACTTCCTCCATAGCCCCTGTGCAGGCAGAAAGGCATAGACCACCCATAGTCACAATGGCAGTGATGTTTGTTATTACATATCCCCTTCTTATTACAAGTCTCAGGAAGACAGGAATTTGAAAGGACAGACAGGCTGATACACTTCTTGTGTATGCAGATCTTTTCTGTCCCGCAGGTGGTGCCATCTTTCACTTCACCAACATCAGGTACACCCATCCCCAAATGATGGTCAGTACTCCAGCAGCTGTCACCATTGGCATAAATTTTCTGCAAAACAGAATGAGTCTGGAAATGGAGAATGTCTTCCACGTTTGCACACTGGACTTTCCCACAAAATATATCTGACATTCTACATTTTAGGTATTCTGTGCCATTTGTGCCACAGTGGCCAAATCTGTTTCCCTGTGAGTTCAATTCTTTGTAACAGTTATGAGATGCACTTCTTGCACCTTTGCCAAAAATCTCCCTGCATTGTTGGTCACGGTTATTACACTGCTTTTGATAGCAGTAGGCACTGACACCACAGGAGACCCCGTTCTGTACATAGCTATCTTCTGGGCACTGGTGGAATGTTCCATTGCACCATTCTGGAAGGTCACATTCATTGACTTTTGGTCTACAGAGTTCCCCTGATAGCATGAGTTTGCAGTCTTTGCAACAAAGTCCAAAAGCACATGCAGCCCCAGGCCTCAATTTACAGTTCAACAAACAACAGGGTTCTTGCTCACACTCATGTATAGATCCACAGTCACATTCCTCTTCTTTTTCAACCATACCATTCCCGCAGCGCTTCACCAGAAAGACTGTCCCTGGTCTTGGATGATTGTGCAAGCAAGTTCCTTGGTTTAAAGTAGTCTTCATAAAATCGCTATAGCTGCAGTTGGTGAATCTCTCTGCTGGTACTCTGAAAGTACTCATGACACAACCTCTTTCCCCACAAGAACAGGGTTCTTCATCATGCTGCATACCGAAAGTATGGCCTAACTCATGGGCCACAGTGTTGGCAAAAAGAGACCAGGAGTCTCCTTGGAAATTTTCCACCCCACAGTCAAGAGGAGGATGACATATTCCTGCGACATAGGCTATACCAAGCACACTTATAAGTGAGCTTCTAATGAAAATATGAGCTGCATCATGAGGTACCTGAGAAAGGCTGACTTGTTTCCACTGAGAAAAATCTTCTAAGACCTGATGTATGTTCTCCATTGGAAAAACGTTTTCTCGATTCCAAATCTCAATGCCCATCAAAGTCACATAGGTATCTAGCTGCCTGTACATGGAATCCACCATGTTAACAATGAGAACCACATCCTCTTGTACCTTTGACAAGTTGCGTTGAGAGTAAGTGAAGAAACCATAGTCTACCACAACAGCCAGCTCCAGAAACCATGTGTGGTTCCACAGTTTTCCAGAATTTTGCTTCACAGATGGCTTCTCGGGATCGTCAAGTCCAAAGTGTTGGTATGGCATTCTCTTCTCTGTTAAACCACACATCATAGGTGGACATTGTGTCTTGTCATTGTTTAATGTATAAACTAGGTGTTCAAATGTGCTGGAGTGCCTAATGGGTTTGATTTCATAGGAGAAGCCATTCATTTGTAACACTCCCTGAAACCCCCCGTTGCAGGCACTGAAAGCAACTAAAGACTCGGGGACCCCCTCTACAAAACCATTATAGTAACAGTCACTAGGGACAAAGGGATAGTCCTGAAGAAGGGCATGTTCCTCTCTATAGGTGAGCACTGAGAAGTGAGTAGAAACCAACAGCTTCTTGACTCTCATGTGGACAATATGTCTTTGGCCCCCAAACATCAGGCTGTAGGAGAGCCATCCTGAACTTTTTGTACCCCTGGCCCTGCTGGTCACCTTTAGGGGGATGACCACTTCTGGAGAACTGAGGTATTGAGTGGACCCGGTCTGTGATAGCTCAATAGAGGACAGAAACACCTTAAGACAAAGCAGCAAAGGAGTGACTCTCATGAGGACTTCAGCATCTGCATCTAACACATGAAGCCATCTGTGCAGAGCAGAAAAAGACTGACTACGAGACACTCCTGCTCCGACTCTTCCCTTGGAGCTGATCAAGGAGTAGTGCTGACATTTAGAGATGGTGTCCTGGCAGAGATGGACCATCAGAACTTCAGTGCTGAAAGAGAAAAGAATTCTTGGATAAGGTGAGACATTCAAGTGAGAAAATACTGAGTGATGAGTCAAGACAGTGTTTATGGGTCTGGTTTCAATAAATAGAGGGAAGAATTCAGGGGTGAGGGTAGAGAAAATAATATTGGCCATATGCTAATAACTGTCAGAGTATGAAAATAAGTGCTTACACAATTAGCTTAATCCCTCTAGGTAATACGAAAACATCCATAATAAAAAGTGACAGCAAAAGAGTAGAGTGAGTCTATATCTTGATTTGTTTAACATAGCATTAGTTTACATTTGGGTGTTTTTGCATAGTCATTGATAGTGTCCCACTTGATGGCTAAAAGTGGAGGTGTGGAAAATAACCACAACAATCTATATAAATTTGTGTTAGTCTTAGCCTTTACATGAATTTTTCTCTATTTGCTGTCTCCTCATTGAATTCTCCTCTATACGTAGTACATTGCAAGGTCCTTACCTACAGGGTTCATAACTTTTTGTTTTTGTTTGTAGAGACAAGATTTTTCTGTGTATCTCTGGCTGTCCTGGAATTCACTCTGTAGACTAGGCTGGCTTTGAACTCACAAATATCCGCCTGCCTCTGCCTCCTGAGTGCTGGGATTAAAGGCATGCACCACCATGGCCTGGCAGGTTCATAACTTTCATTCATTTTAACATCTTCTATAATTCCTAAATATATTTCTATGGACCATGAAAAGTAGAGTGATGTGATAGAACACCTTAGATTATAAATGAATGTTACTTAGCATGAATTAATCTTTAACTATAATTTTAGAAGGGGAAAATTTCATGAAACTCCTATAACAATATGGGAAGAATATGCTATCAGTTACCCGGAGAACGTAGCAATATCAAAAGGAAAGTGAGAACACATGCAATTGAAAGTCCCAAGCACTGCTGTATGGTGTTTCAGGGTTGCTATAGAAGAATCCCTGTTTTTTAAAGACATATACGTTGGACAATAGAGAATTTCTGCACCTGACATACACTCTCACTGGAAACACATCCATTTCTCTATTCATTAAAGAAAGGATTTATGTGTTTAGAGAAAACAGAGTACAGGATGTTGTGCCAGACATAGGGGAAATTAAAATATAGATAATTAATATAGTAGAAATATGAATAAACTTTATGGGGTCTCTGTGTGCAAGGTTTTACATTGAATAAATTAAAGTTCTCTTGTTATTCTGAGAAAAAGTTGCAAGATTGCCTCATAGTTTCAGCTAGCTTAAACAAATGAGACTAAGAATCACCACACCTATGTGAAAGCTAGAAAAGGAGATGGCCATGTATAACACCCACTGAAACAAACCAGAATGATCTGAAATTAACAAGGTTCATACTCCAGGGGTCCTCATTGCAGACCACCAGAAACAACCTAAAGAAGGTCTACAATACACTTAATACAAATATACCTCATAAACAAAGGCAGGATTTCTGAAATTGAGTAATATATGTATTTATCTCATTACTAATAATATGTTCTAGAGAGGCAAGTTTTTTCTAAACTGTCAGAAATACAGAATAAATATTTATTATAGTAGAATAAGAAATGCTTTTTAGCTCCCCCAGTAGAAAATACAATAAAGTAGTTCTCATAAAGGAAGAGATTGGAAAATCAATAACTAAACCTATTAATAAATGTCACAACACTTGTAGTTGGAACCTAAGGAGGGAGGTTCATGAGTTGAAGGTCAGCTCTTGTGACACAGTGAGGCCACACCTAAAACAGGTAAATAAACATGAGACAATACATATAGTAAAGATGTGCCCAGATCAATATAAACATTGAGGAGGATCAAATTCCACAATACTTGTGATGCTGTTGACTTTTTTAATTTTTAAACCATACCAAGTAAATGCTCTCCTTCACACTTATTTTCCTACTTGTAATTCTGTGTCTGCTTTCTTAAACAAGGCTCTTCATCTTATACGTGACTCAGGATCTAAACTTTAATTTCACTTCTGGTTTTTTATAAAATTACCAACAGTAGTTGGTATAAGGACATTGTGTGTGTGTGTGTGTGTGTGTGTGTGTGTGTGTGTGTGTGTTCACGTGTACAAAGCTGATGCACATCATGTCTATGTTAGGTGTCACTCTCCGCCCTACTTTCTGTGACAGGATCTTAACTCTGAAAACTCGAATCTCACTGATTCTTCTAGATTTGCTAATCAGCAAGCCCTTGCCTTCCTCCCTAACACTGAAGTTACAAGTACATCCTGCTCATGCCTGGGTTCTTTCTTCATGGTGGAGAGGGTTCAAGCTTAAGGATGTATGCTTGAGTGGCAAGCACTTTAATAATCAAGCCATCTCCCCAGCTTCAGGACTTTGTTTCTCGTAGCAGTTTGGCTTTGGGTTTTTGATGCACACACTTATTATAATAGCCAAATGTAGCTTCAAAATTTCTATGTAGTCCAGCCTAAATTCAACTAGTAGCCACTACCAGTCTCTGAAGTGATGAGCACCAGTCTGCCCAGGTTCTCAAGGCATCTTTAATCATGCTGATATGATAAACCTTGCCTAAGGAGATCTGGAAAATAAGATTGCCTAACCAAATGCCAATCACCTTCCAAATTCCAAATCTCTCCTCACTTACGTAAACATCCTGATTGATTCAACTTTTTCTGTACCTCCGTACATTCTTTTGTATTTTCTAGAGTCTTCCTTTGATGACAGAGGAAAAGGGTAAGGAGAAAAGGAGGGAAGAGCTGTATGAGGTTGGGGGGAAGAAGGAGAGATTCAGAGAAACGCTTTATTCCCATCCTCTTTAAGAAAAGCGCTCCCACCTCTGCATACCTAATTAAACCTGAGTTTTAAGGGAAGTTACTGCTCCATGAAGGTTCACTACAACTCGGTCCTCAGAAGCTTCATATACCATATGGTTCAGAGTCAAGGCTCCTGTTCTCTTGTCTGTAAACAGAGACTGCGCTTTTGTTTCCTGGACACCCAGACCCAAGTAATTACACAAAAACCATATTAATTACAACACTGTTTGACGGGTGGATCTTGTGTATTCCTAGATAGCTGTTACATCTTAAATTAACCCATCTCTATTATTTTATATTTTACCATGAGGCTCGTGGTTTGTTACCTCACATCTCACTTATTGGGTAGCCTCATGACACCTGCCCGACTCTGCCTTATTTCTTCCTGGATTCAGTTCAGTTTTCTTGCCTAGCTCTATACTGCCCTGTCATAGGCCAAATCGGCTTCTTTATTAACCAATGGTAATAAAACATATTCACAGCATACTGAGGGGAATCCCACATTGCCTGTCCACAAAGTCAATACCAGCCCATTCATTCTACAGCTGACTGCAACAGTCTTTCCTTTTCTCATCAACTACTTCATCACTCTTGCACAAATTTCTAAGATGTCAGCTCCAGACCGATAAAATCATTCTTCGCCAAAAATTTGTACCTTGACTAATCTCAGCAAGTGAACAACACATACCCCCAAATAAGTTTTTAATTACTCAGTCACAGCTATAATCTTTCCCACCCCACCATATTTCTTTCTAACACACATACACACGCACTTCTTACATCCTAAGGAACTTGCAATTCTAATCCCTCTATCACTGCCTTACTTTTGATATATATATATATATATATATATATATATATATATATATAT